TAATGTGTACTACTCGCGTAAACTACAGACAATACTTAATAGGTATAATTGAAGTCTGACACTTTCTTATTCTCTACTAAAGCATGTACCATGTTGCTACATCAAAATTCCTTTGAACTCGCGACTCTTTTATGATTCCAGTTCCACATATTCTCCTAAACACGATTCGCAAACGCAATTTATCTCATTTCCCCCAATTACAGCCTTTTCAGCGAGGATGGAGCCTCGTGTCAAGTAGACGTAGGGGCTACGGGTCTGATTGTGTGTATGTTTTATGTGGTCGGAAAGTAAATTACTGTTCATTTTCTCTCCGTTACACTTCACGTAATGTTATTAGATGTCTTTAGTACTTAGAATAAGAAATTATTATGTTATTTTCGCTTTTCTGTGCTCCTTACTTGAAAGTGATGTTAAAATTGACGTTAAAGTTTTTTATCGTCTATTAAAAAAATAAATTTGCATTATAATCGATTTTTAATTTATTTTGAACAAATTCATTTCGATTTTTTGAACGTTTTCAATGAAAATGAAATGGTCCGAAATGTTCTATATATTAATGTTTTTTTCAATAAACCATTAATATATAGAACCAATATTTTTGGAATTCAATTTATCGAGAAAGTTTTTATAATCAACATTTATACAGCAAAATACAAACAACTGGTTTTAATTTAGAATTGAAATTATAAAATACTACATTATTAGTGGTGTCATTATCTTAATTGCAATACATCTAAAAGTGAAGGCAAGCGTATTGTTTGCAACAAGTACCTTTGAGCAGTCTAAGTAAGTGGTGTAACTCGAATTCACAAAGCTGGCTTAGTTTGACGTGGAAGGCATTCATTTTCATCAAATCTCGGATTAAATATGTTTGTAGGAACAAAGGTTTTCAGTAATCCACGGTAAAGTATTAATACTAGCATAGGGTTGTCACAGACTATAAAGTATTTGAACATTTTTATATATAATAGAAGAGAGCGTATAATATCTATATATATGTTGTATATATATAGAAATGCGATTAAGTTTGACTGTTTCATCTGTTGATGATGGTTCGTGACGACGTGAAGTCTAACACACTTCATAGAATAAAACTACTTGATAAACACACGCTAAAAGTGTGTGTGGAAACTTGTTTTATTTTAATATATCGTAAATAATTATAATTTTGTATAGATTAAATTGTCTATGTACTATAACCACAGATGTGATTAGGTACAGAGTAAATAAACTATTTGCAAAACAATGAGTAATATCCTTTTAAATTTACAGGTATGCTTTTGTATTTTACGTTTTTATTAATTCAGTATTGATAAACACGAATAAATACATAATAATAAAAACAATATCATAAGTTTGAAAATTACCAACCCTGCGTTTTCACGTAAGCATAAACGCTACAGATTCCAGGTTTTCTTGTAGGGGGAAATTTCATCATCCCTCGGGCATGTCTTCGAATCAGCTGGGGTAAGGTGGGCTTAATTGGGAAATAATGCGAAAGCAATTAATCACAATACCCCATGCTTAATGCGAACGTGTTCTAACAAATAGAACAAGGCATTTTGAAGCTTTGCTCTTAATTCAAAATAATTTGACTCGCGACTTTGGATGTTCTTAACACTGTGTATTAATGCTTCCAAGAGGTGATTTCTTGCTTTGTTAAAAAAACGCATTATTATAATAACAATAAAAGTATACGAATAGAAAAAACTTATTCGTATTATTATAGAATGTAGACCTGCCTATGAGTTAAAACAATTCTAAATTTAAAATCTAACCAGAAACAGTTATCCTTATAAAGAATGCAATTATTTATTTCCAGAAAAGTGCAGTTAAATTTTAGCACTAATATACATTTCAAGGTGGTGCGCAAATGTGTAGTCGGTGGTATGTCGTCAGCATGGTAAAAGAAAATTTATGATATAATAAAAAAATATTAATATAATAGATTAAGTTTCCTATTCCTTAAGAATGTACGAAATACAAAAGCTATTTTACACATAGCAAAATCACAATAGATAAAAGCCTTGTTGCATAGTAAATACCTATAGGCTAGGAATGAAAAACACTGAAACTGAAAATAAATCGTTTTCCTTCACAGTTTATTGATTCACGGAAGTTTTTACAACTTTCTACCTGCGAATATTTAAGCAGAGGGATGTTTTGAGTTTATACGTTGAGGTTTTACTGATTTCCAATGGGACCCGCTCAGAGCATCTTCAGTAGACCTGAAACTGTTCCGGTTCGTTTCACTCCACGTATTACGATTGGCCCATTGTTGGGAAAGTCAGAGGTGACTTGGAAATGGGTTTAGGGGAAGTATCGTATCGCGAATGGGTACAGAATAGACCGAAGTGACACACGTTACAAAGCCGTTGACCGTTAACACATCTATACTTATATTATAAAGTCAAAAGTTTCTTTGTTTGAACGCTAGTCTTAAGAAATATTGGTTCGAATAAAAAAAAAATATAATGAATGATTCCTCTTTAAATTATCTAAAAAAAATTCTCGACAGTATGTCTATCTTGTAAGAATAATTTGCAAGGACAACAGGACAAGGACGACGTCGTAGGTAACAGGTAGTATGTCATAAATAGGATTGCCTACAATCTCATATTAATAATATTTTGTTTGCTGTGACGATTGAACTTAGATAAAGTAAAGAATTATTCGAGAGACCCATAAGTCAGTATGTTGCGTTGGTAACGCTAGAGTTACTGTTAGCTAAATTATTTCTTCGATTGATAGATATAATTTACAGTCTTAAACAGAATCAGCCGTGTGTGACCAACCTAAAACAATATTCTACGGTCTCCTGGTTTTCGAACCTAACCTGGGTTTCGATCTCGTTGTTGCCATGTCCTCATCATGATTCTTTGTTTTTTTGAGTTATGCCGAACTGAAAAATGTTTTTTTTAATACAACAGCTAAAAAGCTTACTCACCCATGTACCAAGTGTATAAAGATTGTGTGTTGGTGTGTGTGTGTCAGGAATTATTGTTTTGTTGTGTGCAATTATCATTATAACAAGAAATTAGAATCCTTGTTAGGCCGAATACACGTAATTGGTAATACAAAACCGAGCTGGGTTACAATGACTATGTTATGAAGCGCTGCCACAACCCTTTAATCCACCGCTCGCTTAATTCACTTGTCCCCTCATTTGAGAATTTGTCCACAAGCCCCTAACCGCCTCGATCCTGATGTAATTTGAAATGACTTCGAATATTGCAATACGAATTCTTTGTCGCACTTGCTGTGCAAGATTATACTCTTAGGATTTATGAATAAAATAGCATTTTGTGTCGGTAGCATATAAAATTTCTTTTAATCAATGAGGCATTGAAAAAGTGAGGCCTAGGATAACCTTTTGTTTATAGCAAATACAAATACATTTAAGGAATACTTGAATCAACTGAAACAATATAAATCGTAATTAAATTAAGATACTACAACTTATTAACTGTTTTAAGATCGTATACATAAGTTTTTTTTAAAGATAGAGAAGGACAGACAGACAAGGGGTTTACTTGATGGTAGGTAATATCCCCAATCTATACCATCAGAACAAGATGTGCTGTCGTCCTATTATGGCTTTGAAATATATATATATACATATATATATATATATATAGATATAACAATGTCTTTAGTATAGAATTTGACAAAACTAACATGATAATACAACAAGTGTATCCCAGTTTTCCCCTGTCTACGAGGAGGAGGCTAAATAATTTATAATCCTAATCTTATTAGCGAAAATCAGTAAAAATCGCAAGGTTAGCAAGACGAATGTAGCGTATAAAAATAAAATGTAGCGCAATTCGTCTGAAGCGAAGGGACGAGGCTGGACGTGGTCTGCATTCATAAAAAGTGGTAAAAAATTCCATGTTCCATCCTCCCCCATTGATTTCATATATGTAGTTATGTCTTGGTAGCATCTGCTACAAGTTGCCATACGACTTGTGATAACGACGCAAGATAGGAAATTTTGGACTATTTTATTACGAAAATAATTATTTTTTTGTAACTATTATTACCGACTCTGTAGCTAAATGGTATAACGCGTTGCCTAGTGGGTATTATGTTAAGCACGAAAGGTTCCGAGTTCGAATCCCGGGGAAATATTAAATTGTTTCGGTTGGACACGGCACAAGTCTGATCAAATTACCTGAAAAATAAAATCGATCAGTGAAAGCAATACAGAAATGTATTCAACCTTTTTTTATTGTTAAAATATTATTTAAAGAATGCAGATACATACATTGATTATAGCGCCAAGATTTATTGTACAATAAATATTGTGGAACGCAATTCAGTCTGTGGAATTTTTAATTTAAGAAGACAGTTTTCCAAAATAATATACTCTGTAGACGGGTTACTAACAGCCATAAGTTAGTGGCATTCTCGTCATAACATATGGGGTCCAAAACTTTGGCTTCCGCATCGTTAAAGTTACTGTGTCACGTGTCCTCGAATAAATTGCACCAAACTTAATTAAAGAGTTTCACGATACACAACTTTTGTGTGGCCGGAATTTTGGCGCTTTTAACGTTCTGTTGTAACGTTAAAGAGTCCTTGAATTTTAAGCTTTATGTGTAAGCATGCCATTAATTAATATTTATAATTATCACTTTAATAACATCACATTACATGATTATCTTATGTAAATTGAGATTAGCTTTTAGTGTATCCACACTAAAAGCTAATCCAACCAAAGGGATCCCCCTTTGGTTGGATTTTGCTATATAGCGTTGTTCAATATATTAATTGAAAATTAAATCAACATGTAGATTTATCAGGTATACTCATATAGTTACTCGATATAAGAATAGCACTAAAAGTGATTAAATTACAAAATGTACATCAGACAATGTCTTATGCATGAAAACTAAATGTCGTAAATGTCTTGTTTATGCCTTATAAATTGTTATATAGATTATTAAAAGTTAGTCTTCTTTGCAGGATGTTCTGCCCAAAATCTGAGGATATTCCCGATGCAGAAACAACAGACCGTGGCGGTGGGAAAGTCAGTTGTGCTAACTTGTCAGGCTGACGCACCGGACCCGGCTCTTGTCTCTCAACCCCAGTGGCGGGACCCTAAAGGCCAAATTATAAATGAAGCAGCGTGAGTAGATAAATCTATTTTAAAATAAAATTACTGGTTATTAATATGCAATGCCAGTCAAATAAAGAGACTACAATGTTCCAGGACAACAAAATAATATAGTGCACTTAAAGTACGTAAGGACGCTATAAATTAAACTTAGGGAGTGTCTTGCTAGTTCTTTGCCCTTGATTGAGTACTGTAAATGTCTTTAGTTTTTTAGTGGTGTGATGTTCATAAGTGTACCTAGTTACCTACACGAAATAACGCCCTTGTCTTTTATCAAATCCTAGAAATATTTGAATTTCGGTAGCGGACTTTCAAAAGTATTTTACAGATATAGGCATATTATAGATTTGATAATTCAACTATAATTACCTCATTTAATTCTACATAGATGGATAAGAGTCTATATACCTTCTTAGACGGGCCCAACTGTAGGACCGAGAGCTGCAGATGATAATTTGACGTTTCTTTGTTTAGCTTTAATACAATCTATTTTAAACAGTGCTGGCACGAGACCCGAAATCTACACGGAGCCGATGCCCGCGAAACAGCTCCAACTGCTGTACATATCGTCAATCACTCCGGCGATGGCAGGCAATTACACTTGTGAAGCGACCTTTACCAACATGCCTCTCAGTGCGAGCGTTGTTTTGGACACTTTCGGTATGGCACAAATTGTATTCAGCAATCTATGCTTACGTAAATTTCATTACACACCGTTGAGACTAAATGGAAATTTCATGGTAGGGATACCTTCTAATTTACCACACTCAATCTTGGTACTGTCATGAGGTTAGCCATGAAATACAAAGGATAGACACACATCCATCTGGACACTATCACTTCTTATATGTACAAAATACACTTACAATTTATATTATCTTAGAAAATCATTTCTTGTGCTTTTGAGTATCAGCACAGCTGAGACTGGTACCGATTGCAATTTCTTAGGTATTTTTAATACTGTTAAATACTGTCGTTTACGCGAGTAGTACACATTTAAATAAAACACTTTAACGGTTTAAAAGGCGATATATTTTAGTTAAACTTCTTTGAAAATTATTTATAACTGCGGCCCGACGTTTCTGATCACAGGGAGACTAGTAGTAGTAGTAGGCCAGAGTTAAAAAAACTTAAATATATCACGTTTTAAACCAAAGTGTTTTATTTAAATAATACTGTTAAGTTTGTAAATTGATGTTATGTTGGAGCATGGCAACAAAGAGATTGTTGAATTTGAAATATAAATGTGTTTAACTGATGATTTTATCATTGTCTTGATTATACATGTTTGTCTTTTTGTGGATTGTGTGACGTTTCGAATTATAAATTTTACCAATGTTTCTAGTGGCAATTACCTGGACTAATGCGAACGAAAATCAATATGCGACAAAAGGAAAAGACTTCAAAGTTATGTGCGAGGTAACTGCCGAACCTGCACCATCTGTTGATTGGTTTAAGGAAGGGACACCGGTATGTATTATATATATTTCCCTTTTTAATTAAACACAAAAATTAATAGATCAGTTTGGATGGCGCTTGGTTTAAAATATATTAAGGTTTAAATTATTATTTCGTGCTAAAACTGTTCTTTCTATTCGTTCCAGTAACCTACATTGTTCATGGTAAAATATGGTACCATGAACATTGTAGGTTACTGGTAATCTCTAATATATAAAATTTTCATGTTATACGCAAACTTCTACAAAACGGCTTATTTTAATGTTGTATACACATTCGTTAGACCTGTAATAAAATCAATCTATTATTATATGAGTGAATTTACTGTTATTTATTAGATACAAATTTATTAGGTCCCCTAGTAATAAGATATTTTTAACTGTATCAAACATATGCAACGGATTTACGCATAGATGGACTTGATCCTTTGAAGGGTTTAGTGGGCTTACGCAGGTCAAACATGCGGAAGCCTCAGGACTATTAATCCAATTTGAGCGTTACAGGATACCATACATGTTATAATGGTATATCAATAGTAATATTTAAATGCTATCGTTTAGAACAAAGGGTGGGTAGCAATTCAAGAGAATAAACCAAATACCTTAGGCGTCAAACTCTTTTATGCTCTGAACTTGACCTGTATTCGAATGTATATTTTTTTTGTTGCTCACAGCTTTAGATAAATCTTACACCACTTACAACATTGTCTTGACAATTACTTTATTCATATGTTAAATACATTATTCCGCCTCTGTAGCTACATGGTGAAACATGTTGCCCAGCTGTGCGTTACTCGCGAGTGGTCCTGAGTTCGAATCCCGGGGAAACAATAGATAGAAGGAAATTTATTTATATTGAAAAAATCCCGCCTCATCTTGTTCCAGATCCTTACTGGCGACAGATATGTCATTCACGCTAATGGCTTGATGATTAAAAACGTTGAAGAAAGCGATGATGGAACTTACACGTGTAGGGCAGTTGTTATTCAAACTGGAGAGTTAGCTGAACGGAATATCAAATTGGAGGTGTGTTTTGTAGTCATAATACTTATTAATTTGAATAATAATTTTTTAAACTAACATATTTTTTCATATAGGTTTACACGGCTCCGGAGATGGAGGAGAGGGAAACAAGGGTCGTGATTAAAGAAGGTGAATCAGCATCGATCACATGCAAAGCGAGAGGGAAGCCTCCACCAACATACTCGTGGATTAAGGCGTCTACTCGAGAGGTATTCATCTTGAACAGTAATATGTCGATCATTCAAACCTTCGATCACTGAATTTTAATTTAATAAATATTTATTTTTCATTAATGATCAAATGTAGGCAGGGTAAATATAATACAGACTTACTAACAAAATAATTGACTTTCAGAACTTGGGAACTGCGTCGCGTTTTAGTGTTAATGAGATAAAAGGCCTCCTGACATTTGATCGTGTTGAAGCCGGAGACTACGGCAAATATATATGTAGTGCTGTCAATCAAGCCGGTCATAACGAGACAGAAATCGAAGTAGAAGTTTTAGTACCGCCGAAAATATTCGAGCTATATAATACTACAGCTGCAGAGAAAACTGAAGGCAGATTGGAATGCAAAGCTACGGGTCGGCCCGCGCCTAGGTTGAGTTTTAGGAAATTGAGTAATTCTGATCGGTTTTTGAACGGACCTAATGATGATGGCAGGTAAAAATTTTCTATAGTTGAAGCAGTTCGTGATCTTAGAACTCAATCTCCGTGCTAAAAAGTAAATAACAGAAACAGAAATTAAGAGACTCTTAGAATCTTGGGAAACCATAATAGTTTGGGCTAGGCAGGAAAACTTTAACTACTTGCTAGTAAATACATTAAAATAGTGAAATGGACACAGATATTATTTCATTTTTATACCCCTACAAGCGGAAACTATATTTCACTTACAAGTCAATTTGTATTGCGTCTTTACGAATTTTTATACTTCGAATGTAATATTTATCTGTTTTTCAGGATTGTCGTTGAAACAAGTAACCGTCAGACAGGTGATCAAATGCAATCCAGCGCTATACTAACTATTATTTCTCTGAATAGAACTGATGATGGTTTATACGAGTGTGTTGCTGAAAACGAAGGTAAATTTATGCTCCTATTTGTTTTTACTACGACAGCAAAACAAAACTAAACTTTTGCAAACAAACATTTCGTGGTTAAAATTCAATTTTAAACACTGCATTCTGCAAATAATATAAAATAACACTACCTAAATATTATGAATTGCAAAATTTATCAACAATTTCTGGATGACATAACAACGATTGTTATACAGGTGGCGAAGCGAGAAAGAATGGACATTTAACTGTACAATTCAAACCTACATTTGAACATATGACAAACGTGCCAATTTGGAGTTGGAATTCACAACCTGTCAACATCAGCTGCATTGCCGAAAGTATTCCTAACGCGACCATTAAGTGGAAGTAAGACTATTTATTAAATAATATTGAAAAAAAAAACATTAAAAATGTAATTTATATTTCAATTAGCGAATTCATGTTCTATTAATTAATGTTAAAAATACATTAATTTTAAAGGTTCCACGATTTAGACTTGATTGAATCACCTCAAGTGAGAATATATGGATCTGGACCTGTAAGTTACGTTACAGTTACGCCTACAGATAGAAATCTATACGGCGTATATAAATGTATAGCAACCAATACTTTGGGCGAAGCTGAACATATAAACCAATTGAGAGAAGCATTTCCACCTGGACCTGTGATACAAGTAATATAATTTGTACATTTATTTAAAATGTTATTTAAATTGTTTAAAACATGAATAATTACTAAAAAAATGAATTTGCCTTTTCTAGGCCAAACAAGAAACAATTACAGCAACGTCAGTATCATTCAGTATTGTTGGACCACCTGAAGATATGGGACCACCAATTTTAGCGTACACCACGCAATATAAAGAGAATGGAAACTACGATTGGAACTTAGCTATGAATAGGACGTGGTCTGCCAATTCTCCTTATATCATCGAAAATTTGCGACCCATGTACACTTATGACTTTAGATTTGCCGCTGTGAACCAAGTAGGAGTCGGTAGTTGGGGTGCTCCCGTGACTGTTATTATGCCAAGACGGTAACTATATTGTTAAATTTTCGATATTTATTTACATGTTCACGTTTTATAACAGAATTTCATAATTATTTTAGGTCACCCCCAGAACAGCCTAAATGGCGAGAAGCAGTAAGCTCTGAATCATTGATTCATGGCAAATTTGCTGATAAATATGAACTACAATGGAAAGTCCCAGCTCATAACGGAGAACCAATTGATATGTACGAAATTGGATATTGTCCAGTAAGTAAAACAACTTTTATATTATAAGAATATAAGAAACCAAATAGAAATGGTAAATATAAATAATACCTAAGAATTAAATTTATTTGTTAACAGTTTCACTGTCAGTTTATTGACCTAAATAACATTTTCTTAAAAGATGAATACAATTTTATAAGTACAAGCACAATACTGTATAATTTGCTCAATTTTACTAAAAATATTATGTGTTATTACTATACTATAAATGTTGTTAAACAAAAATTTTATTATCTTTGTTATGTACTAGGTTTTAAAGGTTAGCGGAGAGTGGCGTGTATCAAGCGAGTCCGACTGTGTAACTGAAGAGCTAAAATCGTATGAGGCGATTAACTATGAGGTTCGCGGTCTGCGACCCGACACCAGATACCGAATGCAAGTCAGAGCTCATAATATACTGGGCTATTCGTTACCAGCGCAACTCTACGTTCAAACCGCCCTCGGTGAGTACCAAGATAATGAAATCCCCCATCGAGCTGGCTTCTACGATGTTTATACCGCACCCGATCCGAACACTTCTGCAGCGTCTACCATCACATGTTTCGTTTCAGTTTTAATAATCACTTTGGTTAGCATACTGTAAGATGTGGACATTTTCATTTCCATTCGCTTCGTCTTGTAGATAGATTTTTTATTCTTAAACACTGGCTATGTTTTACTATGTAAAAAGTACAATTTTGTATTAAGTTTCGACTAAGTATTATTGTTTCCCAGTTTATTTTATGTAAGTATGTTTTAGTTCATTAAGTTTTTCAACTTAATTTCATTGCTTGTCATATAATAATTCAGTGACTGTTTGACATTTTAACTTGCCTTAAATATAAGTCTGCAAAAATGGTGTTCTTTTATGTGTTATTTTATCGTTTTAGCAGTTTCAGTTACTTTGAACCTTTGTATTATGTTAATAATTTAACCTATGTTACTATGTAGTTTGTACGCATGAGGTGTCTAAAACATACATTATTCTGGAAAATCTCACATCGTGTTTATTTCGAAGTATTTTATGTCCATGTAGATTTTCTGTATTGGTAAGTTTCATTTACATAGATTATTATTTCGATGTCATTTCAACACAGTCTATAAATATTATTGTTTGCTTCGGCGCTGTGCTAAACGTATTTATCGTAATTAATATTTTTTAGGTAACCCCAATGGAAGTGCACGCAATTTCCAATGGGCTCACAATATAATGGAAATACTTTTTGCAATATTAGTAGTAAATCTCAAATAAGAGATTTAAAACTAGTAAATATAAATTTTAAGTCCAAAGACGACTGTTATTTAGATTTTTGTGATAAATCGATTTTTATGTGTAAAATAGATATATAGTTAATGCAATGTTTATGATAATCGTCATAAAATGAAACGATTGTTTACTAAAATCTATGCTTTAATTCGGAACGCCTCTTTCTTTTGATATAATGAACGATTTTTATTAAATAATACTAACATTAACGAAAGGGATTATTCTAAAGTAATGTAGAAGGTAGATAGACAATTGGAATTACCTAATTCACTGCCGGGACTTACCAATGATCGTACTTCATTTATAAAAGTTGAAACTACTTGAAACTTCGCTAATTCTAATAGGATTAAACATAATGTACGAGTTTTCGATGACTATTGTATTACTTTTAATAAGACGTAGATAAAATAAATTAGAGTAAAAACATGAATCGTCCACCTAAATGAAGTGTGTGTGAAAAAATGGCTAATATTAATGTTAAATTAAGAGGACATTGATATTATAATAAAATGGCATGGACAGGTTGAATTATTATTCTTCCATAGACAACATGATTGAATTATGATGCAACCGAGACAGAAAATGACCAATGTGAAGAGAATAAATGTTTCCAAAATATAAAATGTTATCAATGATTTCATAAAAAAATAAAAATGATTGAATGTGAAGAATTCGTTTTGCAAACGTCAATGAAATAGAAAGCAGGATTCTCTCATTTTTATTTTTGACATTTAATGACCCTGAATAAAAAAGTACATCTAACAAAGAAACAGCGAAAAAGCTGTCAAGATGCGCAAGATAATCCATTAACCCCCTTGAATTGACCAATTGAAAAGTGTTTGTGGCCCTGACTGATTAATGGGTAAATATATTTTGTATTCATTTTAATATAGTTAATATTTCCTATACTTTTGGAATGAACTAATTACCTACGTATATTATATTGCATGAACCTCTACATGCCAATTTTAATTCACTTTTCTGTAATCTATCTATACGACGGTCATTAGCATGTATGTATACCTTCCTAACCAGCATCAAAGGTTTATTCTGCGTTTTCGATATCTTCTCCATAGACTTAGATATTTGGCTAGATCGTTTTAGATTTTAGCCCCTTAGATTGTGTTAACTAGTGTTTATTTTAGTAATGTTTTCAAACTGGTCATCATTTACAATTGTTAGCATGATTCATACAATCAATTTTATTTTCTAGTTACTTTCCGGACGAAATTGGATTTTTTAAATCTCGATAGTAATTAACTATGTTTTACATAATAGTATCAGTTCGTTGTTCGATCTATATTATTGATGTAGAGATCAAGCATCGAATGTTGAATAGTCTATTGTTACTTATAGGAATTATGATTTTATTTATATTACAACTATTTTATAAATGTGGTGATGGTATAGAAATTTGTAACAATTATTTATGATAGTTATATTTGCTTATAGACACGACTGAATTTGTCATGGGGTTTGAAACTTTATTTTGCCTAAATTTAAATTCTTTGGAATGTTTGCATCTTGACAACTTTTCTTTCTCATTGTTTAATGTAGGGTTCTCATTTATGCATCATAGCCCTTATGCTATCACACGTCATTCTGTCAGGATCATTCAAACCCCATTTCATGATAACGGAGAGCTTTATTTCAATATTGATTATTGGCAAAAATTATAGTTATCGTATCAAATAGTTCGGTGATTGGGTACACGTTTACGTTTGAAAGCACTCTCTGTTTAACCGACTGCAACAAATACGTTTGATTGTTTTAAAACACGTTCATTTGTTGCTGTCATCTCCATATCACATAACATCATCAGCTTTTTCGATGTGATGCATAAACTAACATTTATGAGAACAGTAAAGTCGTCACTATTTAATCGTTCACAGATATTATCTTTAGCTTGCCAATTCTTTGACTTTACTGCCTCTGCTATTGAGTTTTTTGAAAATTCTTTAACTCTTCCATTTCAACAGGTGTTGAACGTTCTGGATTTGCACCCCCTCAACTTCTGTCCAGTGGAGCTATAATAGGAATTGCACTAGCTGGTGTTCTGATCTGCTTGCTGATAGTCGATCTTCTGCTCTTCTGCTTCCGACGCCAGGGAGTCATTGCGACCATATGCGGTAAACGCGTAAAGACACACAAGGACGACGAAGCTAAATTAGGAAGGTAATATATCAAAACTTTTAGTTACTTTATCACGATATCACACTTAACGTTATTTATCGTATTTAACAACATCATCGACAACCTTCCACTACCAATCCCCAATTCCTTTTTATTTTATTATCTTTGTATCCTGTTTTCGTCCTTATTCCGTTTAATATAAGTGTTAGTGTCGATGAGAGATGTTTCTGCCCGCTAGTCTGTACGGTTGGCGTTTCCCGCTCCCTTATTGCAGCACGAAGCCGCGTGCGCCGCCGTCCCCCGCTCCTCTGCCGCCGCCGGTCAAGCTCGTGCCGACTCCAACGTAAGGCGCCTTGCAAACAATTGCATGCTTTGTTTGTGCGATTGCAGTGACACGGCCCAAGGATGACTTAAGTCCTAATTTTGATGATTTCTTTGCCACAGTCTGCCACTGTATTATGGTTTCCACGCGTCAGCTTGGTATTTCGCTTTTGTACATAAAGCAAAGTAGAGGAAGTAAACAACGTTTGCAAAATAATAACTGAATTGTGAGAATATGATTATGTATATTAGAAGTCACGCGTTAATCCCGCCACTTTACAAATGGGAACATCTCTTACGGCAGTATATTTTTTATTATTTTATTCAACCTTTTTATTTTGTCATTTATATTTTGTGTTCCATAACATACATTTTATTTACGTACGTTGTAAATTTTTATTTACAATTACATTCGATAACTAATGAAAAATTTTCATATTCTTCACGCTGCTACTCGGTCACTTGTAGTTATATTCCAACTACACCGGTGTAAGATATTTCACTAGTACTATCTTTAATAAATAATAATTTGCGTACTGTGTTATGCTGTAGTGTTATTAGTTTAACTATTTTCAAGTGTGGCTTCATTTATTTCAGCTTTAGATTAGTTTTGTATAGATTTGCATATGTTGTAAATATTATTTGCTTGTCTAGTAAGTATATGCTGTATAAATATGGTGATAGTAATATGTATTTAAAAAATGGTACTAAATAATAATCCTTTTTGTAATCAGGGATGAAAAGGAGCCTTTGAAGGAAACAGGTGATGATGCTATTAAAAGAAATTCATCGGTTGAATTTGATGGGCGCCGCGTGTATGCTACCAGTGGTGGACCTATCATTGGGAAGAATTCTGCAGTGTAACAACCTTGAATGGGATGTAATCGTCAATGTTATTTTGGAAGTGGACACGGATAAAATGATAATTGTTGTAAGCGAGATAATATGCTTGTGTATTTGTGATCAGCGCGACCAGTATTTAAAACTGCCAAAAGACGAATTATTGTAATTTAAGCGCCTACTGATAGTTAAGTATCGAGTAAGCTTTAATAGAAATCTGATGGAACAACAAAATAAGAAAGAGATTAATTTGACTTTTCTTTTGAAGTATCACAACATGACATGAAAAATACAAAGGACACGTGAGGTAGTAAAAAAGCAATCAGACGCCGTAGATTTGAATATAATATGTCACAGTTAAAATGAAATAACACACACGTACGTTTGAAATATTCACCATAAGCCTTCAATGATTCTGGACTTTTCACACACTTTCCTTGTATTTTTTTACAGCTTAGATGAAACAGGTTAGTCACTAATTAAGCTTATCACTCTTAGGTTAAGACATAAAATACACTTTTTGTATCTCTTTACACTTAAAACTATTTTGTACTTACATATTGCTGCAGAAGGTACAAATTGTGCCTTTCAGGATTATCCTCGTAGTTTAAAGTATTGTAAATATTTAGATTTGAAGTATACCGTATTTTGATTACGCAAAGTAAAAGTCTTTATTATGTTAGATGTTATTATCAAGAAATTCTAGGTATTTGTGTTGCTTTGTAAGCATAAGTACTGTATTTAAATCCATATTGGAGTTATAATCTACACTCATCTTTAGAGGTAAAACACATTATTATATTTTAACTGAATATCTTGTTTTGTTTCAGTTTCATCGAGTTATTTCTTAACTCATTTTAACGTCTTCTTTTCTTAATAAATGCATTTAATATAATCCTTAAGTTGTATATATTAGGATTAGGCAATGTAAATATATTTTATAAATCATATTATTCGTGGAAGCTGTTAACGGTCTGGCTTTGAGTTCATTTACTTATGTCTTATATCTTAGTTTTTAGGACCGTTTTATTCTTATATGTGTCTAGAGATAGATACCTTATTTCATATTGTGTCATGTAAAACTAAATATGTTGTACTTAATATATATCTGATTTCCTATGTTACTCTGAGATTAAATACATAGTAAGTTCTTGGAATTCGTATTGAAACCGATAGAGTAGCTATATTGTTTTGTCTCTTTCACTCTTATCCGTTTCACATTTATTGATTCACTATTTTGTTCAATCACACAAAGGAAATTTCCATATTTAATTCTTCTAAAGTTAGCTCTCTACCAAGATACCGTCTATATGTTTACTTAGGTGATTATGAAAAATTTTCATCATATTAATCGGTACGAGCGCCCGCTTGCCAATCGGCTACACCGAGCTAATATTTAATATAGATGACGCATATCTGTTTATGGTTAATAGTAAATAATATATAAATACTGTCTATAGTTTACACGAGTAGTCCACATTTAAATAAAACACTTTAACGATTTAACTTTGAAAATGTTTTTTAGCTTCGGCCCGACGTTTCGGATGCTTTGCAGCAGCCATGGTGGTCAGTCTCCCCGTGACCTCATTTTCAAATAAGTTTAACTAATATATCGCGTTTTAAACCGTTAAAGTGCTTTATCTAAATAATATATAGTCATATGATTACTTCTATTTATTAATAGTTGTTTTAATTTCTCATAAACTTAGCAGGCAATGTTGCAATGTTACACTAGTTATTTTATGGCAGGCTAAACGTGTATTGAAATTAGAAGCTTCATAGATATGTAAGTTTTGAAATTGTAAGCTTTCTATGAATTAATTTGAAAATCTGTGCATTTTTTATGAAATAAATATAATATGTATTTCAAAGTGTTTATGTATTCAACCTTTCGCGTTCGAAGTTTAAAATTCATGGTTAGCGTCTTTTGTAGTTTTTCTAACCATAAATTGGGGTGGGTGAAGTATAAAAGCTCAATTTATCCTCGTTAGAGTTACAAAGAGCAGACAACACAATGGTGCACGCTTTTTAATCGGAGCTCCTATTACATTGTAATCTGTGCAGAGGGTTGCGCCTGCGCTGACGGAACCCGTATTTGGAACCAATATCCTAAATGTTACACAACAACACTTGGCTTATAGTCGTAGTGATGTGCGCGTACGAAGTTTTTATTTATTTTTTTTTATTACTAGATTTCGGTTTTTGTCTTTTGTATGTAATATATGGGTGACCGGTTCTCGATTAAAACAAAATATTTTTGTATTTATTATGTCTGGGCTGCAAAAAATCTGCGATTAGCTAGTCATGCTTACTAAGCACAAGTTGAGTTTCATGACTTTTAGCACAAAAGTTATATTTTTTTTAATTGTAAATAAAAGATATTTACAAGTTTTTGTGTTAGTATTCCCTCTATGAGGCAAAAATACTTCTGTGTCCGCTTTACTGATCGGTTTACACGTTGATCAGATTCTTCTTTCATTCAAATCTATTTATTCCCAAGCATTCGCATCGAGGGCCTCTCGCGCTTTACATATTGCTAGGCAACACCTTTAACCACTTAGCTACAGAAGCGTCAAGTCAGGTTGTGTTAATATGCAGATTATTTATTTATTTATCAATCACATTTTTTTGACTCAGCACATCACTGGTCAAACGTAACGCGTGACGCGGGGTGCAGTCAATCGCTGCGGTTTAATACATTTAAGGTACGGACACAATGACACACCCCGCTGAAGATAATTTATGTATTGTCCTTAACTATAGGGGTTCTGCGCGTCGCATCTAGTAAGATAAATGGATGCAGTTACGATACGTAATACAGTTTGCCAAAGCGAGACTTACGCAGTCTTTGTATTATTAGTTCAGGCGATATGGTATCGAGAGACTATTAAATGTTTTCTGCGAATTATATCTTTGAGATACATTTTTTAGTACGACAGAGGTTATAATAACGGAAACAGTTTATATTTATATTATTATAGAGGAGAACAGATAAGTATGGGGTTTACTTTGTAGATGAAATATCCCAGCCACATAGCATCTAAATGAGATGTGCTGTCGAAAAATTTCTGGCTTAGAATATCTTCACAGCTTTTTCATCTGTGAACGATAGTTCGAGGTCCGACAGAATTTTGATATATCCCCGATTAACGTCCAGATATCCAGACGAAATTGAAAACGAAAAATGTTGAAACCGGTGGAGATGGTAACCACGATACGTTGATTCTTAGCTATTGCTATCATTACACTAATAAGCCAATCGATGTTACTTTAATATTCGAACGCAATGTCCCCACTTAACGAAATGGTACCTAACCCGTTAATAAATATATTATTTTTACAAATCAATAATATATTTTTTGTTTATGGGAGCATTAGACATTTACATAAAACTTTTTTAACGGTGTAATACGCCTAATCTATACGTCTCAGCGTAGGAATTACACCTACAAGTATAAAATTTCATGGTCACCCCACATAAAGTTGTTATTGGTTATCGACTGCAACAATTAGGGTAGGCCACGCGCAAGAGCTTACTATCTCCCTTCTAAATAATTAGCCCGGTAGCAGATGATACGGATTACAGCTCCTTTATGAAAAGTAAAATGTGGGACGGTCTCATTCGAAGTGGGACCGCTAAGCCGAAATTAGATGTTACCTATTTTATTATGTACGGGCATATATGTATTACAGTTGACACAATTATATAATATTAGTAATGGTACTAATTAAAATTATAATAAAGCATTACAACGCTGTAGACGTGGGTTCAAGACCCGCGTTGGTAATCGTATTTTTTTAGAGTAACATTATACTCTATCAATCTAATCGATATTCGAACATGTTTTATCATCAAACGTATCAAGGTCTCCCCGTGACCACGGCTGCTGCAGTGCATTCGAAGTCATTTTCAAATAAGTTTAACTAATATATCGCGTTTTAAACCGTTAAAGTGTTTTATTTAAATGTGTACTACTCGCGTAAACTATAAACAGTATTAAATATTTTATTTGTAAAACCGTAAGACAATGTCGTCTAAAATCGACACCAATATTTTGTATTATTGGAGAGGAAGACTGACATAAAGCATGATGTAAAGTAAAACATCCCTGACATTTAACATCTTCTTTTGTACATCTATTTGGGTATTGGATATGCGGAAATCCACAGATTGAAACCGAAACGCACGAATTTTTCATCTTTAGACGGTGGTGGTAGCTTCGATATTCCTATCTCCCATTTAATACCCAGACGTCTAAATGAAGTTCACTATGCTACAGAAAAATTGTAACTTGATAAAACACATTTTGGATTCGATGGGGATCGAACTCCGGGATTATTATTAAATACATTGTTACCATTAGACCAACAAGCACAACATTAATGATCCTTCATGTCTGCTAATACGGTGTTTTCATTACAATACTCAAAATTTAAACCCGTTAACAGGACAAACATGTTCCCAACGTTAACATGCAAATTGATTGAAATTAAATCGGCTGCCAGGTAACGGACGACACTTAGCCAAGAATTTACATGGGTAGACAATTAGAAATGTCTAAAAGTGATTTCACACACTAAGTACTAAAGATGTAATAATAATAAATAAAGGGCCTAAATTTTTAACACATTTAGTTAATATCAAATTTTGGAAGCTTTATGGAAAATTCATTTAAAAATATATACAACTATTATGGTTGCGGTTTTAGTACATGTTAATGCAAAATAAATTGCTATTCTTAGTACACAGCTCAAAAAATCGTCAACTTATGAGTTATTTATATTTAAAAACATAATACATATAAGCCTAAAGCTACACCAGCATTAAAGTTAAAGTTAATAATGTAGGTCTTACTGAGAACTAACTTTAACTAAATGAATGGTTTTAATATTACATACATAAATGTCTGTAGTGTCATATCACACATTTCTAAGTGTGTGTGTGAGTGATCTTCTGTTGGACGTATTAAACACAAAGTTTAAATATACACAAAAATCATTTTCAAAATAAAATTATACACAAT